GGAGTGAGTGTTGCATTTTGCTTGATGTCAATTCTTCCTTTTGTATTCCTATATACTTTAAACCAGAAGACGGGAATTAGGTCCCCCCTGTAGCCTCTCCTCCTCCAGACATTCTGCTCTTCTTTGGTAAATTCCTTTGCAAAGTTTTCTGCTTAGGTGAGTGAAGACAAGTGTCCCGCTTATGGTGAAAGACTGAGTTGTACTGATGATAATATCACTAGCTCATATGAATGGAAAGGACAATATCTTCCTGTTAGTCAGATAGCCTTGTGCAGTTATGTGCAAGAAGATTTCAGGCACCGTAACACAGCAAGGTCACCTTTGATGTTGTCATCAGTAGCTTAACGATCATAAGCATGAGGAAGTCCACAGCACTGTGCTACACTCAAGCATTTACAGGAGATGGGCATGGGCCCATGTTCATACAGAAAGGTAGAAGGCTTTAGATATTTGTTTTCCAGGGTCATTAAAATGTGGTCTTATGATTGACAAAGAGTTGCTGCTGTCTGTCTAAGCTGCGAGCCTAGGATAAGATTTTCCTTACGACTTGCTCTGGTTTGGAGGAAGGTGGAATGGGGCCAGTCTGGGCATGGAGGGCTCTGAGTGTTTTTAGTGTCATGTTGGTTTGTGGCAGTGGGTTGTTTAAGTAATCGATAAGGTGGAAAAAGTTAAGTATGCAAATAATTAGGAAATGATTACTATGGTTGATAAACTTTGACAAGTATAATTAACTTCAAAGTACATAGGACAGCAGAAACTGGACTTTTTTCAAAGGTACTAAAGATGTTGCAATATATATATGTCAGAAATGCCAACTGAAATGGTTTAAACCCCCTTCACCTTGACCTTTACATGTTAAATTTATTTTTTGAAAAATTTGAAACAATTCTTTCCTCCTTCTCTGAGCAGTTTCTTGCTGAAATTGCAAAAACCTTTATTATTTAACGGTTCTGATGCAGTGCCAGTTGAAGATGACAGGAACATTGCTTTGACTTAATGAATGTTGAATCTCTCTATAAATGTCTGTTAAATATTTATGTGCTTGCAGAATTGTTCCCTGATATGGACTGGATGTCCTGAGCACCTTTCAGGATTGTCTCCTACAGGACAGCCTGTTGACCAAAACGACTAATCTCTTCCATTTCTGTGTTACTATAGTTTGTGTCTAGTTGCGGTGGAGGCAAAACTTTCTACTGATATTTTTAAGCATACGCTATGAAGAAATGTTCAGATGGTAATATTGTCCTGCTAGACATTCTCGTTCCTATGCAAGGGAATCACACACTAAGCTTTGGAGGATTCCCGTAGATAGCTCAAACTTACACATTCAAAAGAGCTGGAAGCCCCACCGGGCTTTTGGGCTTACCGTACAAAAGCACGTAAAGGTCAAGCAGAGAGCAATAGCGTGTAGGACCCGGTGGAGAGTGAAACATTCTGCCTAGAAATCTTTTCCCAGGGAAGATTTTGTTTCTACTCAGGTTAGTACCTGCACTGCTTAGTTAGAAAACTAGTAGATTAACTATATTTTGACTTTGGTTCAGTAAGCAGGACTGAATCATGATCTGCGAAAAAGGGCAAGGAACAACTTGTAAATGTTGTGTTTAATAACTTTAAGGCAGATTTTCAAATGCTTATGTGAGGGGCAAACATCACCCTACTGGCCTGGTTCAGATCCCACCAAAGTAAAAAAGAAAAGTTTTGTTAGCTAGGAGAGCTGCTGAATAACAAGTTGCAAAGTTTACGTCTCTGTAAATGCTCTACTAAGATAGATTTCTGAATGATAGCCTTACTGCTTCCTCAGACCATGTCCTGACAAATGCCGTAGTGTTTCCTGTTCCTGATTTTTCCCCCTCTTCACTTATTCTGCATTCTTGTGTTTTCTTTTTTCTTTCTTCCTCCTTTGTACCTCTTTTGCTCTTAACAGGCCTTTGCTGATGTCTCTCCTCCCTCCTTACCTTTCCCTCGATACCACAAATTATTCTGTCACCAACCAGCACCCTGTGTGGTTGTAGATCTGCGTTGCTCTGCCTTTCTTCATTCACACAGAGCCTCTTCCTTTCTCTGTGCCGCTACGTAGTCTTATCCAAATTTGTGTTTTCTTGGCACTCCAAACTGGGAAAAAGAAACAAAAAATTTACTCTCATGCCTCTAAGACTGGCCACCTGTATTTTCGTTTTTTTGTTCTGTTTCAGATGACACATATACGACAAGAATACGAAACCAAACTCAAAGGTTTGATGCCAGCATCTATGAGACAGGAACTTGAAGACACTATTGTATCTTTAAAATCTCAGGTAAATTTTTATTATTTATCTCCAATTTTTTGGACTAGATTAAAAACATTTCTTATGGACAAGAAAGTATGACTGTCTAAAATTTGGCCGAAATACTGAATTGATCTCAAAAATAAATTATGGCAGCACTCTCGTGCTTGTCAGTTTTTTCCCCTAATTCCCTCATCTTAAGAGCTACCATATTGTATCTTTTGATCCCAGATTTTGCTTCAGTTGCTTGCTGAAAGTGGAAAATAATGCTGTATTCAATATTAGTTTTTTCCATAAACTTTCCAAGATAGCGTACAGTTAACTCTCATCTTCCTTACCCTGTTTCTGCAGAAGGAATTAAAGGGTGCGTGTAAGGGGTTCAGAAGAGAGTGAGGAATCATTTCGTTTTCTTTGCAGCCTATATAATAAATGATATTTAAGATAGTAGTCCAAATTGTCATTGTATTTCTTCCCGTTTTTCCATTATAAAGGGAATAATGTGGATTTTACAGACTTCTGTAAGGCTTTTTCTTTAATACTGCAAAAGACTGGCTCGTCTGGAGTAACAGAGAATCAATATTACCTATATGGTGTAGACTGTAAAACTGGCTAATAGAAATATCAAAATGTCATTGTAAACAGGGAACTATTAATGAATCGGGTATGTTTCTAGTATGTGATCCCAAAAGAAGTTATTTGACGCTGCCTATTCAGTGTATTAGGATCTCAAGGAAAACGTAATGTCGTCATTGCTCGAACTTGCAGAGACACGAAGGTATGAGAAAGGGTAAATAACATTAAATAGGAGTGACCACAGATGTAAAATAACCTGTATTTTATGGTAAGTTAGTTCAAGTAAAACACTATGAGTGTTCGCAAATGGTCTAGGACTCGGACCCTGTCTTGGGAAAAAGGGAAGAAATGAGAAAAAGACGTGGCAATTCCTGTGGCTAATAGCTGACCATGAGCACGAGAAAAACAGAAGCCCTGAGGACACAGCATGCTGGTTTAGGCTTGATACCAGCACACACCTTAAACCAATTTTCACGACTGTTTTGTAAGCTATTATAGATCTACATGCTCTCCATTTTTCTTTTTTATGTGACCTCCCTCTATGGGGAAGGTTAGTAATTTAATGCATTTGCTGTTTGGGTTTTTTTTTTTTTTTTAAATGCATAGTTATTCTGCAGTGTTTTCCATATGCATGAGACATTTCCCCTGGCAAAATTTACCTTTAACAGAAATAGGAAAGAGAAAGTTTTGCATTGCTGTGTGCTAGTAGTGACACAACTTAAACGTTATGGTCGTAGCCAGTGTGTTTTACATGTCAAGGGATCCCTAATGGAAGTGGTACTCTTTCTTGTTTAAATAATTGTGGGATATAAGGAGTTAAGGATCTACTGTGGAAATCTATTTCCAGTTGATAGCAGTAAGCTATTTTTAAGTGTGGTTGACTGCTAACACTGTTGGCTAGGAAGCATTCCTCTGGAGCTAATACAAGGATACCACACCTTCCAAGGAGTTAAAAAAAAAAAAAAAAAAAGACTCTGATATCCACCTGCAGGGCTTCTCTAAGCATCAGCAGCATTTCAAAGGAGTAAAAGTAACTAGACAAACTAAAAACTGGGTGTTATCCCAGAAATACATAGCTGCTGGCAGTATTTCCAGCAGTACGCTGTAGTCTCAGACCATTCGCTAAGCAGGGCTCTGCTCTGCAGCACAGGTGTCCTGGGCTTTGAAAATTGTTGAAATTCCTGTTTGCAAACATCAGACAAGAAGGGCGATGGAATCTGTGCACCTGTCAGGGTTATTTATTGTCAGAGGAGGATGAAGAAGACAGGCTGGGTAGAAGCACCAAGCAGTGATAAAAATAAACAAAAAGGAAAATACTTGATGCTTGGGCAAAGTTTTCTAAAATGTTGCTAAATATAAAGTACGCTGCCCAATTGCCTGCTCTTGGTGAGCTGTCCACGAATGGCCGCGCCGTATTAATAAACATTAATTTTCATACACTTCAAGGACAGGTGAGTATGTTCATCACAAAAGTGCAGGGAACAAAAAGCTGTCTTTATATTGGAATTGAGAGTGGAGCTTGGATTCCCAAACTGTTGTATAATGCATATGTTAGCACAAGTTGAAGTTAAAAACCATTTTGGCTCCCTACACCCTTAAAGGAGTAGGTAGTGTGCAGCGGTAGCATTGTGGGTACGCCAGCCGAGGAAGCCACGCTAGCAACGGTCCATCCTGCACTGTGATTAATTCTAGTATGCAGACAAGGTGTTCTTGCATTTTATTTAGGCAACACAGACAAGAAAGTCAGCCTTTATGAAATCAGTACAAAATTACTCATTAGGATTTTGTACGCCATTCTCACGTGGGATGTGTTTTGTAGGTAAATATTCTGCAGAAGAGAGCGTCGGTCCTACAGGAAGAACTGGATGCCTACCGCACCAGAAGGTACGTGAGTATCTTTGATCAATTTGTACCATTTCACACCTGTGGATCCCAGTAATTGAAGTTTTAAGGCTTAATTAAAACACTCGAATATGGTTGCAGTTTTAAAAGATCCTTATTTTCCGTGAAGAAGCATCTGAGAATTTCCCAGTGCTTAGTCAGTACTATTAGAGCAAGATTAGAGAACTCGCAGGTGCCTTACAAGTCTGGGCTTTGCTTCCATGTTCATGATGAGACAGTGGCTCAGTGCACAGCTGCAGCTCTGTGGTGATGCCACCTCCTTTTAAGATAGAAAACAATGACGCAATGCATAATATTCCAGATCACATCTTCAAAGTACCGGATCTTCATGAGCCTGAGCTTTTTTTCAAACGTTTACACCCTCCCATATAAATTATGGCAAGTGCTGCAGCAATAACAAGACTTGCCGTGCCTTTAGAATAAGTGATTCACATGGATGGGTGAGTAAAAGGAAACTTCCTAGTAAAGTCAGTCAGTCTTTTTAGATTTATACATTTCATTGATGCTTTCATATCTCGCCAGAGGACTTCTGCAAGTGATAATGTGTGCTTGTAGAAAAAATGTAAAAAATTGAAAAAAAAGAAAAAAAAAAGTAAAAATGTTAACAGTGTAAAAGTTGCCTGAAAATATTCAGCCTAAAATTTTTATTAACAAGAATTAGCTAATGCTAATTGGAAGATGAAACTGTAACAGCTTCTCATGGCATAGATTCTTGGTAACGTGCCTAGTGGAGGTAACTTTGCCAGATTAATATAAAGCCCGAACCTAGTCTCTAAAATCTCTGCAGTAACAGCAATGGCATTACAAAGGGATGCATTTTGTCTGTTTTCTGCCTTAGTGTCTTCACAATTAGGAAAAGAGATATCTAAGTACTTGTGTGCCATTCAGTCAGGCCCAGGGCGCAGGTGACCAAAAGCCGAGCGCGGGATGAGTTTCATGCATGTCCCGATAGAGGGGACGGGCCAATGACTGGGCGAACATGCAAGATTCAGAGCATCCCTCCCACCGATGCTGCAAAGGTGTGAGCTCGCAGACCTGGAGCAGTTTTTGTTTTGCTTCTGTCCAGAGAAAATTTCTCTCAGACGGGATCTTTTTTCCAAGACTGCATTCACACTGAGTTTTTAGTGTTTACTTGATCCTTTTTCACTGAAATGCTGCGTTTTTTTAGCTGATGCTGGTCAGTTCTTCAGTGAAGGACTAACTTTAACGTGTGTATGTGGCTGTGGCTGCAGAGTGAATGTAGCTCCCCAGAGCTCTCGCCCTTGGGACGTGTGTGCTCCTGCACGCGCGACACAGGAGCAGTGCACGGCTGTATCCAGGCCCAACCCTGATTTCAACCTGTTGCATTTTTTTTAGGAGGAGTAATAAGATACAACTAATGAGACTCTCTTAATTTGCAGGTAGCTGCTGGAGCTGCTGGATTTCTTCAATTGTCAGATGGACTGCTTTGAATAGGTTTGAAGATTTGGCTCTTGTAAATTAAAATGTAAAGATCAGTGGCTGTTTTGTTAGCACATAAAATGTAATTAAGTTCATGAAAGCACATCCATTGCTCGTGCCAGCATTTTTTTAGTTGTATCTTCCTTCCATTTTTTTTTATCATTATCTTATTACAGACTTACACTTTTGATATATTGTGTTTGACTCCATGCTGAGTTTGCTTACTGAAAGAAAAAATTTCCTCTGCTAATATTTTTGTTATTACTTCCTCATACCATTCTATTCACTTTTATACATGAAAAAATCACATTTTTCTATTATTATTGTCTGAGATATTTTAACATATTTTGACATTGTTTTGTGTCCATATATTTACATAATATTAAAATATTATTTTGTACTATTTTGTTTTGACATTATTGTACTGTTTGGGCATTTCACTCACTTAAATAGCTACAGTGCATATGAGAGTTTTGTGTGGCTTTTTTTTTTTTTCTAACTTGGAAAATATTCGATGCTGTATTTCAAGGAAAAATCTTGTAGTGAGAATGTAAACACCGTAATGACAATTGCAGCCACCGTTTCCAGTTAAAAGCGTATAAATCTACCAGTTGGATTACATGTAACAGTCACAGGAAAGAGTCCTTCGTCATCTGCTGATAACGCAGTTATGCGTGTTACTGAAAAAGAGTCAGGACTGATACGGCCCTGGTTCTGCACGTGCTCACGCGCACATGCACAAACTCTCTTGGCGTGAACAGTCCTGTTAAATCCAAGCCGATTCCTAACGTTTTGCAGACGATGAGGTATGAAAAGTGATGGAAAGCTGAAGGACCTGGACAGGGCATCTTCCTCGTAGCTCCCGTTGCCTTACAGGCCTGGGGTGGACTTATCTCTTGGCCATCCGTGAACAAGAGTGTACATTCGTACACTTGTAATCTGTAAATTTAGATAAGCAGAGCACAAGAATAGCTTTTTTCTCCTAAGCACCATCCTGATGGCCGCGCTCACGTCACGGCATGGTTGATGGCCTGAGTGCTTGAGAGGGGGCCAAGAATTCGTGTCTTCAGCGTCCAGCTGTGGCACTGATGGCAGGAACAATGCCGCAGGGACGGCCACGTGTCCGGCCTTGCCCCAACGGCCCACGCTTCTGCCCGAGCGGGATTTGGGAGGAAAGGCGTGCTGCAGGGGATGAGTACCGGCGCCGCGACCGCCTGCTCGAGGTCCAGGGTGGCTCCACGCGCCATTGCGCTCTCATCGCCCACCTGGCACAGAGGTCAAGCCAGGAGCTCTGGGGCAGGCTGGGTTCGATCCACCCCTGCCTCCTGGCAGCCGAGGGAGGACACCCGGTGCCAAGCAGCGTGCTCCAACTTCTTGGGCGCTTCTCATATTGCCAGGCTGGTCTGGGCCTGGGCAGGTTTTCCACCTTCCTTGAATCAACAAGTGATTCTTCTAATTATAGATAAGGGTTTGTCGTGGCTCCGATAAGCGAGCAGGTGCCACAAAGCCTTGCCCGGGGCACTGAGGAGTTTTTAGTCGGAGGAGTTTGTTAGGATACATTTGGTTAATTGCGGGCAGTAAAATTAAACGTATTTGCTCAGAGAGGTGCACAGCAACGGTGGTTCAGGTCTTCAGAAGAAGCACTGAGAGCACACTGAGCCACGGGCGCTGTGTGCTGTGATTTGCCTGCCGGATATAGCCGTGTGTCTAAATGACAGCCGTTGTTACGGTGGAATTACTCTTCTCGTGCACAAATGAAATAAGGCACTTTTGATTCTTGCGTTCTGCTGACGTTTTTGCCTGCTGTCCTGGTGGTTATAGTGCTTTTGAAAGCTGCAAAACCTAACGCACGCAGCCTCTTCTGGACGCAGCTCCTTGAGCAGACTTGTTGAATTCAGGCCCAAATTTCATTCTGTTTGATAAAAGTGGATTGCTGATGCCACTGATGGTCAGAAAACAGATTGAGAAAAGTGGATCTTTGTCAATCCAGGAGTTTTGAAAACTGGGAAGCTCTCTCCGATATTAAATACTCATGTGAGGCCCATTTCGAAGGTTCTATGAACTTGATCAGATAAATTCTTGATTCATTGGGGGGGTTTTATTTGTAGTTGTTTTTAGCATTCCTTTGATTGTTTCTTGTAACAAGTGGGAGTTCAAGTCTTCACTGCAAGGTTAGAACTGTTTTCCTATATGTAACTTGCTCTCTACCTCTGCTCTCACCTGCTGGGTAGACAATTGTCGGCTGCCAGTAGTTGCTTTCACTGCCTGTAAAGCAAGTGCTAGCAAAACTGGCTTGAATATGGTTAGAGCTGTATTTGTATGCTCTTGTATAACATTATTTTACTGATTTTTGCTGTGTGGAAGATGCTTGTTCAGCTCTGTATAACAGCACACAAGAAAGAGGTATCATGACATAACATTTTTCACCAGTATCAAAGGAGGTTACCCTTATCAAGGCGAAACTGGGTTTCGCTGCCACTCGCAGTTCTTGTGTTACATGTAACAGATGTGCTTATTTCTCTTGCAGTCGGAAGCAAAGGGATCCAGCCTCCCTGCTTCTTCCAGCCCTTCGCTTTGTGCTGCAGCTGTGCTTTAGTTGTGGCGGTGGTGGGGGCAGCACAGCAGCTACTCCTGCTACTTGCCCATACCTCTGCAGACTGGGGCTTCAAACTGAGAAATGATTTCCCTGCACAGAAAAGATTTTATTGCAACTAGAAGAAAATATTTGCTATCGCTACAATGTCCTATAGTGTTAAACATTCATTGACTTTTCAGGAAAACATACACAGCTTTGCTTCTAATGACAAGCAGTCCTGATTGATAGCGAGTGTACAAGGGGCCTGATTTTTTTAGTTATCGTAACACGCTGCTAGTCCTTCCCAAATCACAAAATGTACCGGAGGCACCGCGCACTACTGAATTATACTTGGTCTCATTCTGAGGGTACAAAGGAAAAGTAAGACGTCAGATATTGTATGAAAAAGTTTCAGAACACAAGGTCATTTTAATTCAGACTGTTTTTTCCAAGGAACTGTCTTTTCTCAGCTTTGATATTTTGCTCAGAAAGGTCATTTCTTTTAAGCCTTTGTCATTAAAGAAGGCTTGTTCTTTAAAGTGCATTATCAAAGAGTGCAGAAATTGCAAGTTACTGAAACCAAAATGCATGATCAATTTTAAGTCTGCCAACTAAAGCCGACTTAAAATTAGATGTGCTCTTGTACTGGTGGCTTCTTTGATAAAGTCAGTAGAAGATATGCGGTTGGTCAATTCAAACCAAGAAAAGAAGATAATTAAATAAAACTTTTCCTCCTCAGATTAGAAATTATTTTTGTGGAAAAGCATCGAAAGAACTGAGTAAGGATCGGTTCCTACAAAATCTGTCTTGTGAGAAAGGAAGAGACCGAGTGTGTGTGTGTGTGTTGAATGTGGGAACAGTTTGTAACACTTTTTCATAGCAATTATGCAGCTCTCTCTCGTGTTATTTGAGAATTTGTAAGAATACAAATAAGTCAAGCCCCTGGCCAAAATATTGTTTTTTTACCATTTGCTACCATGATCTCTCCTTCATAGACAAACATTTGAATGGAAAGGAGTGAAAAGCTGGTATAGTGCACTTGCTCTGCGATTCATGAGTCGACCACCTTCCCTTATTTCTGCTGATACTCGCTTTGCCCCATAAACCCTTACCGCTGCTTACAGGTCGTTAAGTGCTTTACTTGCTTCAAGAGATCATTTGGAGAAGAGACGTTTCCTTCCCTTTCCTGATGGTTTTCCTCATGCTGCTGCTTGCAACGTTGAGCTTTAATTTTCATTTTAACCAAAATCTTCAGTGTTAGTGAAGAGAAGCTGGGGTGGAGAGAAGAGGTGGCAGGAAGCCTCTGCTGTTTCCGTGCAAAACCATTAGCGTAGCAGTCTCCACCAGTACTGCTGATACACATCTGTACTGCTGATACATCTCTGTACTGCTGGGCACATCCTAATCACTGCTACTGGTCTGAAAGGGGCACTGGCCAGCTCTTATCACTGCTGCTCCGCTGGAAACCATCAGGAACTAAGCCAACAGAGGAAGGGATTTGTTCACAACCGGAGCTAATGCCTTCTTTAGAGGAACCCAAGAAGGTGAGGGGCTTAGTGCAGCTCAAGCATCATTCACCTCCCTGTGCCTCAGAATTACACTGCTGGTTGTCCCGGCATTTATGTTCTCACAAGGCCGGGTATGTCTTATATTAAAGGCGGTATTTGCAGAAGAGCCTTGGAAAGGTGGGCATCCAGCTTGGCTTCACACTAGACAGTGTTCAGAGCTGAGACCTCCTTTGAGATGCTCTCTCTAAAACAATTTTGTATGCCCATCCATAACTCAGCTTGTTTTATTCCACATGCTCCAGAAACCTGTAGCTTAGTGGGAAGGGAGACGTGTTTGTTATAAATGTCAGCACATGTATCAAACTTAGTATTTAGGACTGAAAACAGGCAAATACATGTGTGTGTGCTTGTAGAAGGAGTGAAGTAAAGGAATACCTTTGTCTCAGCTCAGCAGCCTAGTTAGGATACAGTGCTTCCAACTTAATAACAGCTCTTCACCAAATCTGTGCTCTAGGGGTCTTGCACCTCTCCCATTTAAAGCCTGGTAGCAGGGTTTAATAACAGTCAGATTTGGCCATCCTTTCCAAAGAAGGTATGGGGCCTAATTCTGTGGTTGTGTGATTCGAGTCAAACTAGTGCTGAAGTTAACTTTGTCTAGTTTTGCCCAGAGAAAGGCTTCAAGGACTTTAATAAAAATCTGACCCTAGACTCTACAAGAAATCTGTCAGTCAAAGTGATGCTGCACTGAAATGGAGTAACTACATAATACTATTTTTTGTCTCGCCGCTGAGGACCAATGCGACAGGGACTAGAGCTCCTCTTACTCCTGGAGGGAGTAAGACATGTTTAATGAGATTTAGTTAATTTATCCTTTAAAATGTAAAAGACAAGAAGTTTTGAAAACAGGTGCTGTTAAAGTAATCTTTACTCTT